TTTCACTTCCTTTTTCTCCCCTCCCCTCCCTCCCTCCCTCCTTCTCTCTCTCTCTCTAGAGGGCATGGGGGTCCTCATGCTCATAGAAAGCACTGAAGAAACCAGGAATGTTAAATTTACAGGCTTTTCTCTTCAATGGAAGGGACTTATATCTGTTTCCACCTGGAAAGCAGGACTGGATGTAGTTAATAACATGGTGCTCATTGCCATCTATAGGGCCAGGCCTCATCTGAATCCCCAGACTACTGTTTATTCCAGACTCTTCCCAGACTCTAGTATTATTTCAGTCAACAGAACCCATTCTTACAAAAGATGCCCCTACTTTGCAACTACTTTGCAAAAGAGTTTCTTTTTTTTCTTTTTCTGCACACCCTCCTCCCTGACAGGGTTTCTCTGTGTAGCCCAGCTGGAACATGCTCTGTAGACCCAGCTAGTCTCAATTCAGAGAAGTGGCTCCAAGTATTGAGGTTAAAGTCAAGTACCACCACCACCTTAATCTCAGCACAAAGGAGTTTGGATGTACTCAGGGCTTAAGCTTTATTGTGGTAATTGTCACAAGGAAACTTTTTTCCAAAGTTGTACTGTATCTCAAAAGCTGCTTGGAGTTCGACTCTACAAGTTTGAACCAAATTTCCTTCTTGCCCCGTGTGGATCACTATTCCGACAGCTGTGGCACTTGCAGGGACCCCCATTTTTTTCCTTTTATTTTCATAGCTGGCTAGAAGCTTCCTTTTTGATTTTTTGTTTTGTTTTTGTTTTTCGAGACAGAGTTAGTCTGTGGTTTTGGAGGCTGTCCTGGAAGTAGCTGTTGTAGACCAGGCTGGTCTTGAATTCACAGAAATCTGTCTGCCTCTGCCTCCCATGTTCTGGGATTAAAGGCATGCACCACCACCGCCTGGCTTCCTTTATTTTTGTCTGTTTTTGATTTTTTTTTGGGGGGGGGGCGCAGTTTGAGACAGGGTTTCTCTGTGTAGAGACAGGGTTAGTCTGTGGTTTTGGAGGCTGTCCTGGAGCTAGTTCTTGTAGACCAGGCTGGTCTCGAACTCACAGAGATCTATAGTAGGAAATTACCAATACGGAGTTACAGAGATCCACCTGCCTCTGCCTCCCAAGTGCTGAGATTAAAGGCATATGCACCAGCACTGCTGGGCCCAGCTTCCCTTTTGATTTTATTTTTTCTTTATGTACTCCCAGCTGTCCTGGAGTTTGCTATGGAGCTCAGGCTGGCCTTGAACTCACAGAGATCCTCCTGCCTCTGCCTCTCAAATGCTGGGATTAAAGGCATGCACCACCACACTCAGCTTCGAAACTTCCATTTTGACAGAAGAGAAAAGAATTAAGGAAGGTATTTTCAGCCATGTCTTCCTTACTCCAGCAACACTCCCTCAGCTGGCTCAATTGCCAAAAGTTGGCCATGGAGCAACTTCCTGCTCAGGGAAAACCAGGTGATCTATCAGCCCTACACACAAGGACAGAGCCTGGCTTGAGGATTATTTTCCTCTGGCTTTCAAACACACCTGCACTTTTAAAGGGCATTGAATGTTTTGAAAAGTTCTCTTCTTACTAGAGGCAATCTCCAAAGATTAAAAGTTTAGATGCCAGGGTCCCATCCCTAGAATTTCCAATTCTATTCATCTTATGTGCAGGCTTGGCATCATATCTTTCCACAAGTTCCTACAGCCAGGATTGAGGACTGTGGTTCTACTCACTTCTAGACGACAAGCCCACTGGCCATGTGACTTAAATAGTCCTCAATACTGTTAGACCTCAGCTGATCTCTATACAGTTTCACTACCATTAGACCACAGATGCACAGGACACTAGACTACAGTTCCATGAACATTAGACTACAGTTCCAGCCCAGCCTTGTTGAGCACTGGTGATAGGAATGCTTGCCTAGAACTTGCCATTGCAAAGCCCTACACTAGTTCCCCAACAGTCTAATACATAATGTTTACTTTTTTTGTTTGGTTGTTCTTGTTTTTCAAGGCAGGTTTTCTTTGTGTAGCCTTTGTTGTCCTGGAACTAGCTTTGTAGACCAGGTTGATATAGAAATCACAGAGATCTGCCTGCCTCTGCCTCCCAAGCAATGGGATTAAAGGTGTGAACCACCATCTCCTAGCCACCTTTACTTTTCCGATGACTCATTGTCTTTTCTTTTCAGTGGTAGGGGGCAGTCTCTCTGTAGTGCTGGTTCTCTATGTAGTGAGGCTTGGTCTCACTTTGTAGGCCAAACTGGCCTTGAACCCAGAGATCTGGCTTGCCTCTGTCTCCAGAGTGCAGGGATTAAAGGTGTGTGCCACCACACCTGGCTCAATTCATTGTATTCTTTTTTTTTTTGTCCTCAAAACAAAGAATCATCAGGCACCTCTCAGAATGGGAAAAGGACTGCAGAATTCTGCTATTCCTTTATTTGTCATTGATGGGTTTTTGTTGTTGTTTGCTTTTGTTTTTGAGACAAGTTCTCAGGTAGTCCAGAACTTGTGTAGCTGAAGAGGTACTCAATCCCCTGATCTTCATCTCTCAATCCTGGGATTACAAACTTGTGGTGCCTCCATTTCATTCATTTTAAATAAAACTGTTCAGTTTACTGAATTTGCTTTTGAAACACTCAATTTTAAAAGCACTGTGGTATCAGGCGCTGTGAATACCTTTAATCCCAGGACCCAGATCTCCGTTAATTCAAGGCCAGCACAGTCAGTATAGCAAGTTCCAGGCCAGCCAGGGTTACAGGGCAAGATCTTGTCACATTATCTCAAAGTGAAGGTTTTCAAACTACCAGGAACAATCCAGTTTGGCTGGCTCGGTATCCATTTTCTGACCCAATTAACAAAGAGCATTCCAAATTCATCAACCTTCTAATTCATCAGACCACATCCTGAGTGATTACTTTCTACTCTACAGCAGCCTGTCAGGCATTTCTTTCTCATCACAAATGATATTCTGAGATAAGAATGGTGGGCTCAATGGGCAGTGGTGGCGCATGGCGCACACTGTTTAAGGTTCTGTATCAGTATGTTTTTGAGTAACTTGAAAAGGTTAAATGCCTGAGATAATGTTTATATAAGAATTCAAACAACTCAGAAATAATTGTTTTCACAATGCAAATTCACTGACCATCAACTGATCAGTGATTTATTTATATATATATATATATATATATATGTTTTCTGATTCCTTTCACCCCTTTTTCCCTTTTTACTTCCAGTTACCTTGTGGCTTTTAAAGTGTGTCTAGGGAAGCACTAGACCACTCCACCTTCTCGAGGGGATCCTATTTTTTAAGTGGCTGTTTTGATTTCATCCTTCCAATTTTATCCTGATCTTTAGCAATAAGAACGCGTTATTACTGTTACTATATTTATGACAATTTGTTAATGTGTAAGCCTGCTCCTTTGACATACTTGCTAGTCTGAAGTTTTCTACAAGGGCAGGCAGGACTGGCTGTGTCGTTAAGTGGGACCAGTAAGAAAATTCCCAACACAAAGAATACAACAGACTACAACCGAACTTGGAATGGGAGAAACTTTGGGATTTCATCCTGTCAAACATGTTTACCTGAACGACCAGACTGAAGACTTGTATTTTTGTTTGTTGTACTTCCTAATGGATGTAAAAACCAACTCCCCAAGTCACCCAGGCAAGCGGGAAGCTCCTCATTTTGGTCTGTTTAACCCTGACGCACCAGGGACAAAAAGTGACAATGGAGAACTTGGTTCGAACAAAGGACGTCATGGGAGGCCAAAACCAAAACAGCTGAGAGCTGTCCTGCCAGATCCACCGCAGGCTTTGACACCCGGAACCCAGTGGGGAGACCAGAGGGCCCGCGACACCTCCCTCCCTCCCTCCGCAAACCCGGAGAAGGTGGTGAGAAGGCGGTGAACAGCCGTGGGCCGGATGCCGGAGACCCGGGACGCCAGCCCCGTACTGTCCCCGTCGTCCCCGCAGGCTCGGCGGCGCCGGGCAACAAGCACCTAATTCTGCTGACACTTTCTTTCCGAGAAAGGGGTGGGAATTTGAGCTGCGCGGCGCGGCAGGAGGCGGGTGCAGCTGTCCCAGGCCACACCCGAGAGGTGA